TCAACGATACGTCAAGCTTTCGTCGGTGATAAATAAATGATGAGCGGATGAACTGTCGTTATAAACATGTGAACCGACTTCCGGCAATGTCCGTGTTAATGTTTACAACCGTTTGCGTTTATCTTCGAGTTTATAAGTTGGATTAATGAAAAACAAAACACGAAGAGGTGTGCATTTTGATAATGCTTAGATGCGCGTTCTTTCGCAGTATGTATACAGTAAGTAGTCTCATAAATACTTTGATAAATTATTTAAATACTGTAACTAGAGTGGCTGAAAAAAACGGGTGGACGACGGTCCATTTAACTTGTTAAAATTTACTGGACGAGAGAGATTTTGGTGGTCTCGGACCACGGTCCACCGCCTAACGTCGAAAGACTGCTTAAACAATAGTGCACCCCCCCCCCCCCCCGTACATAAATCAATGCCGTAGATGTAAATCTGTAATGGTCAAAGCAGTCTGTGATGCGGGCTGCTTTTTCCGCGACCTTTGAAAATATGACGTGAGAATATCGATGCGTACGATAAGCGCCCTCAGCCCTGGCTCAAAGGACGTTAGGAATATACACACTGACGCAACTAGAATTTGTCAGTTGTCCGATGGGCAACTAAGCGAGAGAATAACTTGTCCGACATAGACTTTCACTTGTCCCGGGCAATCGGGCAACCATTAGTATCGAGGGCTGATATAGTTGTTATTATGTTTTTCACAGATATTGTTTATGAGTCAGAAGTAGAAAAACCAACGCTATCAGGTCAGGCTAAAGACCAGAAAAAGGGTATGTTCTTTTTTTTATAATGGCATGCATTAGTGGAAAGATTGTTATATTCTTAAAGTTATGTGTGATCAGATCTTGCTTTAGAAATGTCAAACGTATTTTTCTGGAATTTTGCCAGGTTCAGCCTATTATAATAAAAGCAAGATGATTGCAGTTAATTACAATGTTGTGGCTTCGTTGAGCAATCCTTGCCGTGTCACGTGTTGCTTGTATCTGAGGCCATCCTTAAAAAATTCTGTTTGCTGTCCCCCGACCCATGATTTTTTAGTGGTAGGTAGCAGGCGAAAAAAATACACGGGAGCGGCGAGCGATTGCGCTACCGTCAGCTTTCAAAGCGCCCTCTGGTAACAACAATTACCGAGAGCGAAAATTTTGGAAGCTACGAGAAAAATCGCTCCCGTGCCCGCTCCCCGGGGCTGGCGCTACTTTCGATCGATTGCTGTAGTCGTGTGTGCATGACGTCATGCCCGCGCGCATTGTGCTTGGCTTTGCGGGCCTCGAAACGGAGCTCGGAGGCCGGCAGCAGCTCATCCCGGCATGCAATGCGCCCCATTACTCGTGTATAAACAGTCATCTCGTCCTCTTTACATTTTCACGGAGAGAACATTTCCTGCAGGATTTCACGAGATATCTCTGGCAGGAGTAGGTAAGGACAAAGGGCAGAGTTATAATTCGAACAAGTGAACATTTATGTACACATAGATACTAAGATGGAAGCGGTTGGATGTGTATTTGTGCTGTAATCGTGTGAAATGAAGCGAGCGTTGAGCGAATGTCGCGATCCCGCTTTCCTACCTGCTCTCTTATTCATGTTGTTTGTGCACGCAGCACAGCGCGGGCGGGCGTTCGGTGTACTTGTGTGTTGCAGATGAGCATTTGACCGGCATTTACAGGTGATTATAGGCGAAATAGAGTAGAGAAACATAAGACTTTGGTACATTTCGTGTTTATTTACCATTATTTTTTTTTATTGAGACGTTCCAAGTGCCTGTGTACTAGCTCTAGTACTATAGCCCGCGTTCGATTAACTGCCGCAGTTAATCGAACACGGGCTATAGTACTAGAGCTAACTGTGTACATGATCTGTTGTCGATCATGGCTAGACCTAGCCACAAGTTCCCATCTCACTTATCACTACGTGGTGAGAGGTTCTTCCGCCGAGGAACGGTTCCTCCTCCTCCTGTTCCTCCGCCGTGTAACAGTCGGAGAGCCTGGTCGGTTTAGGCTAGACCTAGCTCCAAGAAATGGTATTGCTAGGGGGTACCGTTTCAAATTCTTGCCCATAAAACCTTGTACTCGTAGTTGGCTCGATATCCAACCATCGACACAGCTAGCGTCACATGTAATAGCTCAAACGAATCTATGAACCTCTGGCTTGCTCGAGGTAACTGGGCGCTACTGGGCGCTACTTATTTATCTAGTTGTGCCGTATTTTCTGAGATTAATTGGATGAACACAAGAAAGCCGCCATGTTCGGTGCGACTAAAAATAGTAAAATCGGCAATGGACCTGATTTTCACAGTGCGTAGGCTTAAACACAAGGCAAGTACATATCTTCGCAATGATAATTATTATTTTGTCGTAGATTGATGTTTCCTGGTTTTCAATGTTTTAATATTTATATTTTATGTTGGCGGTGAAAGTAAATTTCGGTTTGGCTCTTGAAATTTACACTGTGCACAGCGAACTAAGGTATTAGTTTTAAGAACGATGCTTGAATACTATAAGATGAAGGTTATACCTAATACTAAACAAGGCAGAAATGCTTAGATGATGATTTTATTTGAGATATACGTAATTGTTCGGTAGTTTTTGTAGAGCTACAAGATTTTCCAATGGATGGATGTCAGGCTGTGTATATTGACGTTAGTCACACAGCCTGGTCGGGTTAGGCTAGACCTATAAATTGTGCCCTAAAAGTTTTGGCCCAAGGATAGAGAACATGTAGGAGGAGAGATGTGTTGTATCTTCCGCATTTCTCATCGGCCAATGAAATCATCGCTGTCCGGTGCGGTTCAATGCAAGATTGCCAGTTTTGTTTGTAGCGAAGTTTGCGTGATTTTTTTTTACGTCGTGATGTTTTAATAAAATAAACGTGATTAAAGAGGAGAATACTGCATGACAAGTGTTTTGTAATGTAGGTAAGATGTTAATAAAGCGACAGCTTTAGGTATTTCTTTGATTTTCTATGTAACACAGCCGTAAATAGTGAAAAGGTTGTCGTGCAAAATCACAGGTTTTGTCTATGGAAGGCTATTGCCAGTATTGGGCCCTAAAATAACATCAGAATATACAAAATTTTAGGGCACAATTTATTGGTCTAGCCCACAGCCACAAGCACAGGCACTTGGAACGTCTCAATAAAAAAAATAATGGTAAATAAACACGAAATGTATTTACTACCAAAGTCTTAATGTTTCTCTACTCTATTTCGCCTATAATCACCTGTAAATGCCGGTCAAATGCTCATCTGCAACACACAAGTACGCCGCACGCCCGCGCTGTGCACAAACAACATGAATAAGAGAGCAGGTAGGAAAGCGTGCTGCCAAAATTCGCTCAACGCTCGCTTGATTTCACACCTTCACAGCACGAATACACATCCAACAGCTTCTATCTTGGTATCTATGTTTACATAAATGTTCACTTGTTCGAATTATAACTCTGCCCTTTGTCCTTACCTACTCCCGCCAGAGATATCTCGTGAAATCCTGCAGGAAATGTTCTCTCCGTGAAAATGTAAAGTAAGTGTAAAGAGGACGAGATGTCTGTTTATACACGAGTAATGGCGGCGCATTGCATGCCGGGATGAGCTGCTGCCGGCCTCCGAGCCTCCGTTTCGAAGCCTGCCAAGCCAAGCATAATGCGCGCGGGCATGACGTCACACACACACGACTACAGCGATCGATTGAAAGTAGCGCTGTTAGGGATTTTCAGATGATACGTCCTCTTTACACTTACTTTACATTTTCACGGAGAGAACATTTCCTGCAGGATTTCACGAGATATCTGTGAATAGCAGCACGCTTTCCTACCTGCTATATATTTATGTGTCAGTGTGCAGCAGCTAGCGTGCGGTGTACTTGTGTGTTGCAGATGAGCATTTGACCAGCATTTACAGGTGATTATAGGCGAAAATAGAGTAGAGAAACATTAAGACTGGTAGGCCTAGTAAATACATTTTGTGTTTATTTATCTTTTTTTTTTATTGAGATGTTCCAAGTGCCTGTGATGATTACATACATACATGTCCATGATACAAGTCCGTGAGAATGATTATGTAAATAACGTTGATATGTTATTATGCACGGCATAATTATCCCCTTTGCGGTTTCTAATGGAGGTGACAACAGTAAATAGTTATTGGTAATCATAAAAAGAGTAATAAACCAGAAAAGCTGGCGATCGGCCAGGACCAAGGTAGCTCTAGAACTATAGCCCTTCGCTCTGCCACAGGCCTGTGGCAGAGCGAAGGGCTATAGTTCTAGAGCTAGGACCAAGGATGTTGCACCATCAACATGCTGAAGTCGAAGGCTGCTGCTTAAATTGGGAAAGAGCGCCACCCACTGGGCGAGAGCAAAGAGGAGCCCATGCAGACATGGGTCAGAGAGGGAGAGAGAGAGAGAGAGAGAGAGAGAGAGAGAGAGAGAGAGAGAGAGAGAGAGCGAGAGAGAATTCCCTTTTAAATTAAGGGAGGTGATGAAAGAGACCCGGGGTTGGAGAACTCCGAATGACTCGATCTTGACCGGCGCCAGTCATTTTGAAACATGTAATTTGTGTTGTTGAATCATGAAGATCGATTCTCCCATGACGGTTTGTTTACTTATTACTACAAACACTGCCATCTACACAACTATACACGACATCCAACCCTACACTACCTTTCAGCTAGTTGAATGGCTAGCTGTATTTTCCGTGTTTTTGGTAAATCAGATGTAAAAAAGATTTGTATAGCTTTTATTTTTTATACCCATGTCAGATTATAATCTCACTAATAGTTCTGGAGGAGTTTGGCTAGCCACACATGCACGCACGCGGACACAAATATTCATTATGATTTATAATGTAGATTAAGGTGATCAGTAAAGTGCAATTCACAATGTTGATTCATCAATATGATGCACCTTCAACTCTCTTCTTCTTTGGTGCAGTTTCTTGGACTTTGAAGATGAATCTTTATGAGGTTATAAAATTAAATTAATTCAGTTATGTATTTTGAAGGTTCATCAGTTTCCTGCGGCAGATATGGTTGGACAGCTATCGTCTTTGTCTGTGGCCTGTACTCAGGTTAGACACATGCCACAACGTAGTAAATTTAAAACAAAACATTATGATCCAAAATGGAGAAAAGAGAGAGCAGCAAAAATGCTCAAGGTATGTATCGTTATCTGTGTTAGAAGATTATATTCCAAAACCCTGCTATTCACATGAAAATGTTCTGTGTTCTTATAATGTGAATACTAATTATTAGCGTCATTCACATTTTTCATTATCCTGAGTGACAGATATCAACATAATTTTTATTCCTTATCAAAATCTTATGCTAAATTGTTCACCATTGTAATCTTGCTGGCTGAATTATATTTTTGGCTAGACACAGTATTATTATCAGCCAAGTAATCTCTTCTCTGGTAATGGTAATATTACACCACCAAATAACAAAGTAATAGTAATATTATTATTGAAAGTTCCCTCTAGATCTTGAACTTTTTCGGTAGAGATTGTGAAATATACTGTACTGGAACTTTTACAAGTTAAACAAATTTGTTTACTTTTCAGTTTTAAATATTATAACTGATATCAGTATGCTAAAAACAAGTATTTTTCCTTTAGATTGACCTTCCAGATTATATTAAATTAAAGAAGGATCAGAATCTGAGTTTAGAAGAGATGAGAGCTAAGATGAAAAAGGAGGGTATCAGTCCACCAACCCCTTATCAAGAACGACCTATTCTCATAACATGCACTGGTAAGTTTTACAGTGTAAGGTGTGCATGCGTGTGCATACAAATGAACCTTCATACATGCCTGTGCATATGTGTGTGTACTCCTTTGTCTTACTATTATAATCAGTAGAAATGTACAGGTTGCATATATACTTTAGGAAATATTCCCTAAATATGAGGAGCAATTGCAGTTATGCTTGCAGTAAATTCTATAATCATCCTCTTACGCGTCTGCTGCCATGTGTCAAATGTTTAATCATTGTAGGTGGTGGTATTTGAGCCATAACGTTCCACCAGAAGGTGATGGTAAAAAATCACCTCATAAGCAAGAAGTGAGAAGTAGATAGTATATACTCTTACATTATTTTACTGTAATATTTCCAAAGTTTACCACGTTAGATAAGGAGGGGAAGACTTCATTAGCCTACTTTGGCTATAAAGTCCAAGTTTACCCTTGTGAGCAACATTCACTCGTTGTTAGTCCCACAATGCATGTATGCTGTATATTCTGGTTTCTTGTAGGGTTTGAAGATCAATACCAGACATTATCAATGAAGGGACAGTCTGAGTCTGGCAGCTCGCAGAGGAATTCGACATAATGATGAAGATTCACCACCAAAGATTTTGGGATCAGAGCACAAGATATGCTTCATTACAGATTAATGAACATGCAAAGTGAGTTGTGGTTATCATGATAGGGTGAATGTGTGGTTAGTCATGATAGGGTGATGTCGATGGTATAGTCATCGATAGGTGAATCGTGTGGTTAGTCCAATGATAAGGGTGAATGTGGGTTGGTGTTAGTCATGATAGGGTAGAGTAGTCAATGATAGGGTGAAGTGTGTGGTTTAGTCATGATTAGGGTGAATGTGTGGTTAGTCAGGACTAACGGGTGAATGTGTTGGAGTAGCATGATAGGGTGAATGTGTGGTTAAGTCAGGATAGGGTGAATGTGTGGTTAGTCACGATAGGGTGAAATGTGTGGTTAGTCAGATAAGGGTGAATGTGTGGTTAGTCATGATAGGGTGAATGTGATAAGTTTTTAAAGTTTTAAACAGTAGACTAAAGCTACTCATATGCCTGACTGAGAGATTGGTACCAACTGGGGTTTTGACATCTATAGTACCATCGTGTCTGAGTCAAGAGATTCTGATGAAAAAATCAGATGCACTTTTGCTGTTGAGAGCTAGATACGCACGTATATATGCACTAACCCAGCATCGAGGACCGTTCATCAGCAACTCCATGCATATACTTAGACACCAGTTTTCTTGTCATCTGTACCTGTGATCGAGCGATAGAAAAATCTTTGTGTATGGGAGCAAAGCATGTTCGACTCTCTTAAAACTGGGAGAAACTAAGTTCAACTACTGTATTATTCCTATGCTCGCTACTAACAAAGCCTTGTTATCATCGATCTCTGTTCGTTTAATATTGTTTTTTTATCAACTTTCGTGTCATTGTATTAAATCTGGTGTGCTTTATATATACCAATATGGCAATAGTTGAGCCGAGATGGTTCCAGTCGTACATTTGATTAGTTTTATTGACCGTATAGAATCTCCCGTGAATATACTGAACATAATATATTTTCTCAGCACTGGTTCAATGTTTCTGTAGGTGGACCGAGGCACATATATCCAATGGCAACGTAGAGATAAGTCTTACTGCAAAAATAAAATCAGTTGAAGACAAGCTGCATGAATTAGTCACTGAAAGAGCATTTCCTGTAAGTATTCAAGCGTTAAAATTTAGTGTATGTGTACTTATTTGTGATTGTATATTCATGTGTAAGGGCATTTGTGCATAAATATGCCTGCTGGTCTTGCGTTTGTCTATACACGCAGATTTAATTACCACACGGTGTTGCAAGTTCAATTAATGAAAATAACTGATATGCTAATATGTATTGTAATTGTACCTCAGCATTACCTTTGATAAGCATAAAAACAGTACCGTAACTCACTTTTAAACTAAGGTATTGTAGAAACGATTCTTGCATAAAACTGGAAGCAATAAGTGGGAAAAATCTTTGATAAATTGCTCACAATTAAATTTATATGTTTGATCAGGATCTTACTTGCATTTCTGGAATTTCTTTGTGTAACCTGTGGTCTGTGTAGCAACTCGGCCTAAGTCACTGTGTGAAACCTTATTACTTGCAGGATTTGACATTAGACTTGAGTGAGAAGACAATAAGGTGGAAGTGGATAGAATCCCTAGAACCTCCTACAGTCACTCACGTCCGTCAAACAGACATTATAACAAAGGAAAACATTTACGGTCAGGTGACCGTTAGAATGCACTCCAAGCAAGTGAGTGGCATTTCATATACAGCTGAAAATTGCAACAGTATCATACACTGCTAAACAAAAATGTTACTCTTAGTTGTGGATGTAAATTTCATTAATTGTATTGCTTAATAGAATAGTGAGGAGTAATAAATGTTATTAACATGGTCATGACTGTTATGTGTTGTGTGATCAATAAATAATTGATAGAATGAGAAGTTCAGGAATCATCCATTTATTGTTAACACTAATCCAGCTGAAACTTGATACCAATAATCTATGCATGTAATGCTGTGTGATAATATGGTTGGTGTCTGAATTAAAGCATCATGACTACTCTTTCTCTCTCTGCACAGATGCTTGCCATCTACGACAGATTCGGAAGGCTTGTCTACGGCAGTGAGACAATGCCAAAAGACGTTCTGGAATACGTAGTCTTTGAGAAGCACCTGTCGGACCAGTACGGCTGCTGGCGGCTTCACGCGAAGATCGTACCCGAATGGATGCCTCGGAGAGATGCGGTGCACAGGACCTTTGTCATGCCATCCTTGCAGGAGGTCGAGGAAGAGGAGCCTAAACAGGAAGATGATGGTTCAGTGGTGTCGTCCGCTGACGCGCAGTCACAGCCTGTTGCTGCTTAATGCTAATGTGAATATCTTGTGCCACAGCTAGGATTATACAGGTGGATGGGGTTGAGAAATACGTACAGTATGCAAATGATAATTAATAGAACGAGTCCTTTAATGCATGGAAGGAAGTCTCATGTAGCATTTTGAATCAGTGTCCCTTTTCATGCAAATCACTATGCAATACTTGCGTTTCTATTTGTTCATTGCAAGTTTCACTGTAGGTAAAGTAAGTTTTTCATCACTCACATTTGTGATCAGATAACGATGTGGACGAGCTAGAAGACATCAAGACATGTGTAACATAGTATAGTATGTGTGTAGTTTTTGTTTTACTTGTGAAAATGCTCATGGTTCAACTAGAGAATTATGTACTGTGCATACGTCATGGCTATTCGACAATAAAATTGTGCGAGAATTTATATATACATATATGAGTTAGAATGTCATTTTGCACTCATTTTTTGGTTTACACATTAGAAATGAGTGGGATGGTGCCTTTATTCAGACTTGTTCTTACAGCTAGTTATCACTCAAGTTCACAACAACACGATAGTGTATATATATTGCGTTACATATAGCGGGGGGGGGGGATATATCCCCCCCCTACTTATTTAGGTGGGGATGGCGTGTACAATCATCCCCCATACTTTCAGGAGGAAAATGGGGGAAAATTCATAATTTACAGACAATAAATACTGAACATTTATCTACAAATCTGTCATCGCTATTCATACTCTCCTAATCTATGATTACACAAATGGAAAGTGACATACATAGATCTACTGTAAAATGTCTGTAACTCGTTTCAAGAATGACATTATTTTACTGAAACTCAGACGGTTAATTTTGGACGCATTCCCCATATACGATTTTTTTTCCAAATCCCCACATCACGGGTAATCACTGCTCACGAAAGTTAAATCCCTGCTTTATTCAAACTTAGAATAGACCTATTGAGAGTTGGGATATTTAATTTTCACGGGGATTCAATGGGAAACTTCAATTTCATCACACTTTTTTGGAGGGGGGATGGGGTGAATTTGAATCGAGAAATTAGAACCTACGTTTCTTTTAATTATTAGTATTTTGCTCTGGTTTTTGTTTACGATTTATCCTGGTGCAATGTTAGATCTCTATAGTCACAGTGATCAACGTTTGGACATTGGTAGGCATTTGTCTGCTTGTTCTATGTTGTGTGTTCTAGCAACGATGCTAAAAAGCTTTAAAAATTCCAGAAGATGGAGCCACGATGTTGTACGATGCGTAAAGATGCTGTACATGCTTTTTGTGTTTACGCGGGTGAGCAAGTGCATCGCAGCAGTAGCAGCAGCAGCAGTAAGGCACGCGCCAAATATATAAATAGATTGTTCATACCCCTTTTATACTGCGCACGACTTTAGCCCGCTTCTGAAGCGGGATAACTTTAGCTCGGGATAAGTCGTTTTATACTGCCGTTCTCGACCACCCGAGTTGCGTGCGAGACCGGCGTAATTGTCATGGTCCCTGAAGTTAGAGCGAGCTAAAGTCGAGATACCTTTTATACTGACATTAGCTCGGGTCTGAAGCGGACCTGAACCACCTCCTAGAGCGGAATTACTTTAGCTCGGGCTAAGTATTTTTGACCTTTTATACTGGGAGTTATACCGCTTCAGGTCCGGACCTACCGAAGAACCTCGGTGGGAAGGGGAGTCACCCACGATGAAACCCTTGAGGATGCCTATCTTCAGCACCTGCGCACAGAATACAAGCAAGAGCACGCGTAAGCACACAACCTTGGACCTCGGTGGGAAGGGGAGTCACCCACGACGAAACCCTTGACGATGCCTATCTTCAGCACCTGCTCCACGCACAGAGGCAACACAGCAGTGAGAACAGAGATGCAATTAACATAAGTGTACAGGCATGTAATTCATGTAATTTGTTTGCATGCATGTGACGCCATTCACGAAACATAGTGCCACTGCTATTGTGCTGCTACTTGTTTCTGTTAGAAGCTTCATCTGGAAAAGATACTAGTTTTAATGCAGGTGAGGCTGATACCCTGACCACATATATACATATGGTTGAGAGAGATTTACCTGTCACTGTTTGATTGACACAGATTCACATATACTTGGTTGACGTAGAATACCTTACCTGGTTGACAAACTTGCCAGAGAGCTGGCACTTAGAGCCAAACGATTTTGCCTGCAAGGTCATGTTCTCCTATGTCTGCGAGTCACATGCTGGATTCTCGAGCAGGCAGTTCACAAACAGCCACATATGGCTCTTCACCTGGAGAGAAGAGATTACCGAAATGGTAACACCGTCGCTCGTACTTCCACAAACTTCACATATACTTTGAAATGCGATCCAGCGTTAACAGTGAATAATATTCTCAATTAATAATCATGTCATGCAACCATAATTGTAATTAACATTACTTCTTTTTAACTCTAAATGCAATTTAACCTGATGACAGATCCGCGAACACTACCCTGACGACTCCAGAGCGGAATGTTCAAGAAAACAAACGGCGTGCTAGCAGTCAATGGAATGAAACATACTTGGAAGGGCTTCACGTTGACCCCTCCTTTGTTCTTTTTCTTCACGACCACCATCAGCTTGCTGACTAGCTGATCACCTACATAGTCGACATGTCTACGTGCCTGAAGAGAAATAACATGAATATATATATACACTACTGACTAGGTGAATGCAGTATATACCGAAGTGATAAGTGTTCGTACACATATACTGCAAAACAGATTAATTCAGTTTTCAGGACCTCGGTCCGGAAAAGGTCCAGTTTCAATGACTGCGCAGTTTTAACCGAGTATAATCGTCGTGCCTCGTTTTCTCCAACCAGAGATTAGTCAACAAACTCCTACACAAAGGTCATTTTAAAAAGATTTACAAAGTTAGGTTCTTTTTAAAATTTTCAGGACTTTCTAGGAATTCTAGAACCCACGAAAAACTCTTATAAACATACACATAAAGTGATTACCCGCTGCTTTGATGGGCAATCGCATGTTAGTCAGTGTTTAGAACTACTGTGCCATCTACTTGGGTTTCTAATTTGCCGCACGCTTCCACGGGTGTGCTAGACATCTTTTTGGCAAATTTCTCCTCTCGTCACACAGCAATAATTCGAGATGACAGCGTAAGATTGTGTGACCTTCAACGACAGGTACTGCTGCTGCTGCTGCCTCACCTTTGTCGTCGGAATGCTGTTGCCGAAGCTGACCTGCTGGAACCCCTTCTCACTCAATGCCACGGCAACCTCCCAGCGATCGTTCACGCGCTCGTTACAGACCTTCAGATCAGTGCCGTCCTCCGACGCACGGCCTTTCGTGTACAGAAGGACATAGTCTTGAAAGTTTTTAACCTGACGAGAGAAATTCGTAGCGGAATACAATTATCAACCATTCAGATACAGTCAGAGGCGTTCGTTAACTGATACCAAGGTTCCTATTGCATGTTAGAAGTGTAACTAGGCACATAAAATAGAAAAAAGATTTCTGCCAGACATCCAATATAAAAAAAAAACATTAGTAATGGTCTGCACTCTCGCCACCACATGTATACTTTGCACCCAGGAAATGCACACAAGTCAGTTAACCAACTTATATAGGGGTGTGACGAAAATAAGACCATCTCGACACTAAGCTCTATTTAATTTCCCTCCATCCATACTTGTTCCAGAAAAATATTACGTCGACACAGAATCATGACCTAGCGATAACATAGAGTCCCCAGCTTCCAGTGTTTTAACTATCTCGCTGCACTCTGCCTCGATTCACATTAATTCCATTCAACTTACCTTCGATCCAAACAGTTTCAACACTGATATAGCATGCGTTATTGATCTTACATGTAATCTATTTCTATTCAATACTACTTTGATCCCCAACAGTTTCAACACCGACAAAACATGCAGCAACGATCTTACTAGCAATCTATCCACATACGATGCGTACATCACATACGTTACAATACGATTTACGTATGATCTCACCGGTAATCGATTTCTGTTGAGCATGACCTTGACGCCGGGCGTCGCCGCGGCGATGTTGTACGCTCGCCGCGAGAACAGCGCCACCGTATCGGCATCGAGCATCTCCATGCCGAACTTCTTCAGGTCTGGGTAGAACGTGATCTCGGTGTAGTCGTCGCCCTGGTACGGCCGGCGCCATGTTGTCTGACCACGAGATGGATAGGTGGAAAAAGAGAGAGAGAGATGGCGAGGTGGAAAGAGAGAGAGAAAGATGGAGAGGTGGAAAGAGAGTGAGAGAGAGAGAGATGGAGAGGTGGAAAGAGAGTGAGATGAAGAGGTGGAAAGAGAGAGAGAGAGATGGAGAGGTGGAAAGAGAGAGAGAGAGAGAGAGAGATGGAGAGGTGGAAAGAGAGAGAGAGAGAGAGAGATGGAGAGGTGGAAAGAGAGAGAGAGAGATGGAGGGGTGGAAACAGAGAGAGAGATTGAGAGATGAAAAGAGAGCAAGATGGAGAGGTGGAAAGAGAGAGAGAGAGATGGAGAGGTGGAAAGAGAGTGAGATGAAAAGGTGGAAAGAGAGAGAGAGAGATGGAGAAAACATCTTCTGCCAGCAGAGAGCCATTTCGCATGGGGCCAATGACAACCCCAATTACAAGCAGTTTATGTATGGTATGTTCAAACACCATCATATTAACCGCAGACACTGTAAACAACAGTCGTTGCAACACTGGAGTAGCAGCAGAGCCCTTCTCATGTCGAGTGCAGAAACCCATCAATCCGAAGAAATAGAAGAGTGATGCTTAGCGGAACACACGTATTATTCTCCAGGTACGAATACTTGTTAAGGCCCGTCTCCACACACGCGGCACAGCACGGAATGCCACGGCTCAAATACAATGCACGAAATCACAATGCATTTCTTTCAGCACAACGGCGCTGCGTTTTGCTGTGTCGTGTCATATCGAGTGTACGTGTGGAGACATATATAGCTTTAGGGTTATGATTACACAACGATTGATCTATTGTTTACTGTTGCATGTTAAAGCATTTTGGGCATGTCCACGGCTCGTCACTCGCAGAAACTTCAGCCCAATTTTTATCATCGAGTAAGCCAGCGCATTCTCTGTGTAGCCAAGCTCCACATATATCACAACCAACACATGGGGAGTCCCCCACATCCTTTCTGCACGTTGGGCAGATGTAAGCCAGTTCTTGTGCGATCTTTCTTTCTGACCTGGAGCGCTTTTCTTTTCCTTTCCCTTTTCCAGCAGCAGTTGCCATTTTCCTTGTAGTTGGTTGAGGTTCTATTGTTGGGGTCAATGTATGGTGTTGAAGGCCAGAGGGACCAGGCTGTGGCTCATCACAAGTCGCTGGCAGGATATCTGCAGTCGAGCTGATGGGTGAAGATGCTCCAAACGCATTCCATTCGGTTCTGACATATTGTCTACTGCAAGTATTTTTGCGCAGAGGTCCTCCGCAAGTTGTGTTTTCAATCTCCGTGTTTGCCATGGTAGAGTGTAGGCCTTGAAAAAGGTTTTTAGCTCTTCCTTTGAATATGTGCGAGCAGAGAAGAAGTTGGGGTTGGATTTTAAAATGCTCTGGAGTTGAAGATGCGTCACTTGTTTCCTTTTTGATGTGTCTGCTGCAATTTTGGCCGAAGACAGTTTAGCAGTTAGGTCTTTCTCTTTCTGGTGTCTCATTTGAATTTGCCGCCTGTGGGACTCCATTTTCTTTTGACCGTAGGACCTGATGAGATCTTTTCTGAAGTAGTTGCTTGCAACCAGGACAAACGAATGGACGATCTTCCGAAACAGAGTATCAAGACTGGCACTTTCTGTAACATCCGTGGAAAGAAATAATGCCCTCCATGTCTCCTTCAACTCTGCTGTGTCGAGAAGTTGCGCTTCAACAACAGAAATGACATCCTGTTGCTCGACATCAAACCGGCCTTTGGTTTCTAAATGCACACGGTGTTTCTCTAGTAGCAAGAAAAACCGAAAGGCGTTGTCACTGATGTTGTACAGTGACTGTCGTATATTCTGCTTCCGAGCAGTTTCTTCCAGTGTTTCTGGCATCTCACTTGTTTTGTGAAGATCTGCATAGGATGCAGTGAGACAGTCCAGATAGTTTAGTGTTTCAACTGTACTCTTACAGAGCTTTTTCTGACGTGACCCTTCAGCATACATGAGGCGTCGCCAACTGTTGTGATGTTTAGATGTTAGTTTGGCTACACATCGACCAGCCACATACCGTATCTTTCCCATTGCCTCTGTGCTTAGCTTAGTGTGAAGTGGCTTCAGCGTTGCAGCCTTCCGGAGATAACGCAGACGCCTATTGCATGCCCGGCAGCTTGTGCCGTGTGCAAGAGCCGGTTTTAGCCAAAGGCAAGTGCGAGCACGCTGGCGAATCTCTTCTGGTTCTCCCTCGGCTGTCTGGAAACGCTCAACTGTGTGAGAGAAATATGGTATGTTTGCGGCTATTTTGTTTTATACTAATTACAGTATGGCCCCGTTAAAACGTGGTCGTTGAGGTCCGTAAAATGTTATTTCGAAAAAAGCGGGGTTGCAGAAAATCAGAGTATAACTATAAACCGATCCAATGGTGACCTAACATCCCAAAACACCCATATTTTTGCCCTAGTTGACCCGTTTTTTGCACGTTTATGTTCTATTGATAGCGATAGACACTGCGAACTAAGGCCGGCTTAACTCACCAAAATATTTTTCAGTTTTTGAAAGAGCAAAAAAATGTCTATATATCACTTTATATTCGAATTCTCGTTAAATCAGGGCACGTACAATTTGGATTTCACTGCACCTCAAATGCTTTAATGCTGACAGCACTCCAGTGTAATTACTTCTCAAAATAATGGTCTCGAAAAGTAAAATCCATAAAGTAAATTAAGTCAAAGCAAGGTATATATGAGCACCTGGTTGTAGGCCTGTAGTTGACACGCCCAATGGCAATCCTTTGCAGATTTCTGCATTATCGACCATGCGGAGTAGGTTGTCCACATCCTGGACACGAAACATGCCATCCCCAGGTGACAGCAGACTCGTTTGGCCACTAGTCAGCACACAGACGACTCCAAAACATAAATTCCAGTGACCATTTCTATACACTTCTAATTCTTTAACAACTCTCTGCTGGTTGATAATACCATTACCAACAGAAGACATAATTTTGATACTGCTGTCATTTTTCGCGACTACTTGGCACCAATTAGGTTTCATTCGCAATGCAATGTCATGCAGGCTAATCGTGTCTTCTGGTTGCTGGTGACGGTATGAGACGCCACGATATATTCTTACATTAGTTTTACCCTTTCTTTTTACAGAAGAAGTAATGCCAGGAAATACTAATTTTATACGTGTTCCAAAAAGGACCTTTGATACGGTTGGGTTAGAGCAAGACTTCATAAAGTTCGTGAAAACATCGTGTGCTGTTAGATAACCTTGTTCATCAATAACCAGCTCTCTTTTAACCCTTGTGGAATAAAAAGAAAATTATATGTAAGTCAATTGAATAAGAGTGTATCAAAATTATAGTATAGTGCATAAAAATCAAAAAGTATCTGTGGTAATTGCATAATAAAAGTAAACGAAAAGACTTAGCAGGTAGGTTTTCTAACGTTGTTGCCATGATTACACGTGACGTACGTACAATAAAAAGAAAATTATATGTATAATATAGGCCTACCAAGACTAGAGTCTAGAGAAGAGTATATCAAAATTGCATATATATGTGCAATTATTTGCATAATAAATTGCACATTTGCAATAATTTGCATAATAAAAGACTTACCAATTACTAATATAACTTTTCATTTCTAACGTTGCCATGATTAGCACTCAGACACCTACACGTACACCCTTTAGCTATGAGTATGATGGTTTTGATTTTGGCGCAAAAATGACGTCACGAATACGGCCGGTAGGGGTCTAATGTGAAATGCAGCGAGCGTCGAGCGAATTTCTGGCGCGGAGTGAGTGGAGTGAATCACTGATCTCTATAATATAATCAGATTATATTATAGAGATCAGTGGAGTGAATCACTGATCTCTATAATATAATCAGATTATATTATATAGAGATCAGTGGAGTGAATGCACAAATGTTTAACTGCCCACGTAGCCATGCTAAAAAGCGTTACCTATCGGACAAAAATACTACTATTATAGGCCTACCACTAAAAATTATGTTGTGTATTTTTATTTTTATTATATGATTTATTATTAATTAAACTATTAATTACAAATTACCAATTACACTATTGTTTAAGTACACTATTAATTACTAATTACACTGTAAATTACTAATTACACTATTAATTACTAATTACTAATTACACTATTAATTACGAGAGAGGAAGAGGAAGCCATGATGGTTAGAGGGAGAGAGGAAGCCGTGATGGTTAGAGGGAGAGAGGAAGCCGTGATGGTTAGAGAGAGAGAGGAAGCTGTGATGGTTAGAGGGAGAGAGGAAGCCGTGATGGTTAGAGGGAGAGAGGAAGCCATGAGGGTTAGAG